GGCATACGAGCGCCAAATTTATAAGGCATTTCATAACATAAGTATGGCGGAGACCGAAAATTTATTAACTATCACAAAATTAATGGGATGGTTGAAACAGTTTACACTACAATAATTTTATTTACATCAGGTATTGTAGCAATAAACGTCGTAGTATACGTTTCTACTTATAGTTTTTACCGATACTAATGCGGTAAAACCTTCCTGAGCAATAATGAGTTGAATTTACCTGGCGATCATCTAGATTCGGGAAACATTTTTTCAATCAAACCTTTGTATAAAGTTAAGAGTATACCTATGTTAGCTTTGGTTAGAATTCGAAGTTAAAAACCGTGACATAGTCAAGCCAAACCAAGTAGCCCGACCATTAGGCCAAAACTTAATATTTTAAAGCCAAAGATAGCCCAGGCGAACTATAACGTCATAAATCTAACAGAACAGTTTCCCGTTACCATGGATTTTTTTTATAGGATAAGGGTGACAAACGAGCACACAGTCCACCTGATGGTAAGTGGTTGCTGCAACCCATAGACATCTACATCTATCCTCCATTACAAATCAAAATGTAGATGCGTTGTCACCCGTGAGGACTAAGATGGAATGTCTCATTTCCAGTAAAAAGGGCCTCCGGCCACCTGTACTCACCAAGCGAAACGCCGAGGTAAATTTCTACTTCACGCTGGTTTTCTGTGAGGTCGTGGTACCACCCCGGTTCGAGCCGGCCCATCCGTGCGACAGCAAAAGCTGCCGCGTGGCTCTACCACTGTGAAAGCACCTGAAACTGGGATTAAAATATTTACTAAACGCGATGAAACCCGTAAAAATAATTTTAATAAATATGTGTATTAACTATTCTTATAATATAGATAATTATATGACACCGTTAAAATACAAGGTGAAATCCTTTACTTCAAGAGAGCAATTCTTGTATATATTATGTATTTAGATAAATATATTAGATATATATATTTAATTCGTTTCTCGGAAACAGCGCTAATGATTTGTATGAAAAAGATAATGTTTTGTCATCCCTGAGATTATTTTTCTAACACCAAGCAAAGCTTGCACACCCAGCAATAGTCAAGCAACTGTAAATGACTGGATGGTGTAAGTAACAGCGCATATACATATAGATTCAAATACGGTTCCGTCAATAACGTCATCTATAATCTACACTATAATAAAACTCTAACACGACTTCTGTCTGAACACGCATCACGCAGAAACCTGTGAACCGATTTGGATGGGACTTTCGGTGGCTGATAGCTAGCTGATGTTATAAGGAGTAACTTAGGTTAACTTTATTTTAGGAAAAGAATTAGAGTACCGCGCAAAAAAATTAAAACCCATGAAATCCAATCGCAATAAATTCCACGCGGACTCGAGACTCGTCGTTTGCTAAAACGGGGTCGTACGAATTGAATCCGAAAACAAGATTTTTGCAATTGGCGGTTAATATGAGTGTGTCTAATCTTCTACGCATAATTGGACGTTAAGGATACAAACTTCATCATTTATTAATCAAATCATCTATCATTTATTATCTACGTGGTAGTCACGCTGTAGGTATATTGTGGTTGCAGCACGAATAGGTCGGCTCGACCGGGGTCGACACTCACAGAATACCAGCGTAAAATACGCTGGTATTCTGTGAGAGCAGCTGAATTCTGCTGTGTTTCGTATGGTGAATGTAGAGAACCGGACTCACTTTTTACTGGAAACGATCTTTGTACTCAGGGCTGACAATACATCTGTGTTTTGATTCTTAATCGAAGATAAATGTAGATCTCTATGGGTCACAGCATCCACTTACCATCAGGTATGCTCTTTTTTCACTCTTAGGTATTCTATAAAAAATATATCATAACATAAATGAACCTAAGAATCTAAACAAATATTTGTGATATAAAAAATAACTTTACATTTACAATTGTAACTATTATTATAAGAAAGCCAGTTACAATTAGACACTATTGGGCAATATTCCCCGTCCCGAGCTTTGTAAACAAACTGCTTACAGCAAATAAGGCAATGCCCAAATAGAACCATTTAATCAGGAAGTCATCATCATCATCATCATTACAGCCCTTTACAAGTCCATGAACATAGGCCTCACCCAAGGAATGCCACAAAGCACGATCCTGAGCATCTATCAACTTCCTGCATGTCTTACCAGGTCGTCACTCCATCTAGTGGGGGGAGGTCGCCCTACACTTCGCCTGCCACTCGAGAACCTTTTTTTCCCCATCGGTTGTCGGTTCTTCGAGTTACATGACCAGCCCATTGCTACTTCAGCTTAGTAATCCATTGGGCTAAGTCGGTTACTTTGGTTCCAACGCGGATATCTTCATTTCTTAGTTTACCACACAGAGAAACCCCGAGCATAGCCCTCTCCAAAGCTCGCTGAGCGACCTTGAGCTTCCTCATATGTCAACAACTTTGAGCTTCGTGCTCCCAACAACTACCGGCATAGGTGTGACATGGACGTTATACATGATCTTTGTTTTGTCCATGTTCGTCTTAAGACCTATCCGTTGGGAGGCACTATTGAAGTCATTGAGCATTGTGCTTAGATCCTCCAGCGATTCTGCCATAAGGACTACATAGTCAGCAAATCGAAGGTGAGTGGTGTACTCGCCATTGACGTTAATACCGTATCCTTTCCAGTCCAGTAGCTTGAAAACGTCTTCCAATGCAGCGGTGAGGTTTCGAGGATATAACGTCACCCTGTCTTACACCTCTCTGCAGTTGGATAGGTTTCTTCTGGTTCTGTACTCGAATAGCCATCGTAGCCCTGCTGTACAAACACTTCAGCACATTCAGTTCAGTTTTTTTTCTAGGATGGGGTGACAAACGAACACACAGTCCACCTCATGGTAAGTGGTTACTGTGACCCATAGGACATCTATATCTATCCTCAATAAAGACTCAAGATGCAAATGCGTTGTCACCCGTGAGGGTTAAGATGGAATGCCTCTTTGCCAGTAAAAAGGGTCTCCGGTTCTCTACACTCACCATACGAAACACGGCAGCGTTAAGCTGCTATTTTACTCTGGTTTTCTGTGAGAGTGTGGTCCTTCCCCGGTCGAGACGACCCATTCGTGCTACAACTATACTACTAATATAGCTGCAGCATGGCTCTACCACGTAAAAGTTTTACACGTACCAGTTTCCTGTATGCTATCAATACTGTTGAAGACTGCAGCTTCATTTCCCGTCTAACAGCCATGAGATTAAGAGTGTGATCGGAGAATATTGTGTTCTTCTGCGGCGGGTCTTGTAAAAATTTAGCTCCTACCGCATGGACAGTTTCCACGAGCTTGTCATTCATATCATCTACTGCATTGCAATCTTCGAGGCACTGAAAACGGTTTTGTAACTAGAGCTGAAAGGTTTCGGGACTCTAGGTCAGAGCACGAGGGGACGAAGCGTTGACTTCATTAGACGACACATCTCCAACTTAACATTTAGGTTCAGTATGTCTCTAACCATTCGTTGATCGCTACCAGTTTTCATCCTCGCGATCACTGTGACGTCACCGAACAGTTGCCGTCTAGTCGTCATAATGAAGTCAATCTCATTTTTTGTCGAACCGTCGGGTGAGCCCCGACCAGGTCTACTTCCTTTGGGGCCACTACTGAAAGAAATAGTTCATCATAAAGAATCCCTCTTTCTACATGCAGTCGGCCAGCTGCTGGTCCCTTGGGTTCCGTTACCCTATTCCAAATTTCCCTACCCACAGCTCGCCGCTCTCTTATGCCTAGTTTTAATTAACACCGTATAGTGGGTTTTGGAGGAATGCATGGCTTTAGAGATATCCTCATACATTTCCTCCACCTCCTCATCGGGATGTGCCGAGTTTGGTGCGTAAACCTGTATGACCTTCAACGAATACCGTGTGGTGATTCTGAGTATAATGTATTGTAACTTTTGTCATGGAAGGTATCTAATATATAATCAGGAAGTATATGTGTCAGGATCGTGCCAAATGGAAATCTATAGTATCTGCCTAACCCTCTGGGTGACAGGCGTGAGTGTTTATGTTTATGTTAAGTATAAGAGAATTTTTTGTGAGCCATGTGTAATTGTAGTTTGATAATTGGTTGTTTACGTCAATACACTCAATAAACATTTTACCAGTTGAGCGTATGAAAATTTTAACAAAGCCAAGTTAGCATTTATTTGATTTTCATGAGACGATAAGTTTGCCTAAAGCCAAAACTTCCTCTGATTTCATTGTATTAGGTACGTCAACTATAAAGACGAGTACTTTTATTTACGTTTATATGTACTTTACATATGCATATCTTCCTTATAAAATCTTGTTGTACATATATCATAAAACCATATCAAATCCAGTCGAAAACGTATAATACGTTTATTTGCAATACTTTGTCGATCTCAAGATAAGCGCAGGTGAATAGTATATAATATATGTAAATAAGGTATGGTCCTTCACTGCTGGCCTTATGAGGAAGCTTCGGCGATGATGTACGTAGTTGAAATAGAGCAACCGATATAGCTCGACAGACCATGCAGGATCGGTGGCTCAGGACCGTGCATTGTGGCATTCCTTTGTGGAGGGTATGTTTCGCACCGAATGATGATAGATTCTTATTTATACAGGGGTTTGCGTACAAAGGTGGCGACTGCTCAGAACGAACAAATTCTCGATGCGAATATTCACATCGAGCAAATGCTCTCTTATGATTCTCCAGATTTGTTTTTAAAGTAATGTAGCAATTTTCGGTGTAAAACACCAAAAAATTATTTGAAAAAATGGTTGGGCACCATAAAATGTTATTTTGCAAAAATTGCACATAATATACATAATAGTAGTTAAATATATAGCTTCTATTCGGCCTATTCATAAAAAGTATAGTGATTCTAATTAATAATACGTAGGTAGATTGTATTATTCGATGTCAATTTGCAATAAAAAATCTGCTGAATAAATGTATTGTTTTATTTTCCGAACTTAACAATAACATTTAACAATTTTATTTCTCTAAAAGATACATTTTATACAACTTTTCAGATTCTTCGTCGCTAAAACTGGGATTAAACTTAACTTCAATGACTTCTTTAAAGCCTTCTTTAGTGGTTGGTTCTTGAAATTTATTCCTGAAATCAAAAATAACAATAAAAATTGAACAAATATGAGCTGTGCAAGTTGGTCCTTGAATAGTGTTCCGTGTATCATGAGTATATTGATTGAATGTAGTTTGTTTGCATTTGTCACAAAATCCCTAATTCTATATGGTGGCTGACAAAATCGATAAACGGTACTGTATGGATTTGATAGTGTCATTGCGACATTCATCACATTCGGATAGGCTTGGACTGCTCACATTTTTGTAGTCAAAATTATTTACGACTCAAGCTTTGCATTTATAATTACCGTTCTAAAACGATACTCTTTTTACCATTGGGATAAAAATAAGGTGTAATAGGTGAACGAAGTAGAAGCTCGTGGTATAAATATTTTACAAATTTATTTATTTTTCATTGTCATTTTCAGCCAACTTCAAAAGAAAGGAGGAGGAAATTCGTCGGAATATTTTTTATACTCATATTTTTTTGTAATAAATATTACCACGTTATCTGATTTCGATTATACTTTTTTGTTATAAGGACTACCTGAAGGGTGGTCCCATATAAATTTGGCCAATATTTAATGATGGGAGCCATGAGAAAACCATAAAACTCTTCAATTTATATTGTACGAAATATGGCACGGAAAATTCTTTAACACGTCAGCCAATTTTGTAGACTATATTTTTTTGTTCTTTGAAGTCGATTATTAGTTTTAAAAGTTTAATTAAGTATATGAAATTTATTTATCATAAACACGACTAGTTTAAAATAAACTATTTACCTAGCGATTGGTTCCAAGTAAAAGTCGTCACAAATACTCGTTGAAAAATCCTGCACAATATTTGAAGCAAAAAGTATACGTTTAAAAAAATGAAAAATATCAATGCCAAAGCTACTTCGTTCACCTATTACACTCTAGTTGTTCTTTACGCTAAAACCGTGTCAATCGGTATAAACAGATATTGGACGTTAACATTGTATTTAAATGAAACAATTACTTCATCGTCATCATCATCATTACAGGCCATCATAAGTTCACTGCTGAACATAGATTTTTTTTATATAGGATAGGGTGACAAACGAGCACACACTCCACCTGATGGTAAGTGGTTGCTGTGGCTCATAGACATCTACATTTATCCTCGTTTGCGAATCAGAATGCAGATGCGTTGTCACCCGTGAGGACTAAGATAGAATGCCTCTTTTCCAGTAAAAAGAGTCTCCGGTTCTCTACACTCACCATACGAAACACAGCAGCATGAAGCTGCTATTTGACGCTGGTATTCTGTGAGAGCGTGGTCCTTCCCCGGTCGAGTCGACCCATTCGTGCTACAACTATATTACTAATATAGCTGCAGCATGGCTCTACCACGTATAAAATCTCTCCAAAGGAACACCAACAGTCACGGTACTGAGTAATCGCACTGAATATTAGCTTATTTAACTTAACCTCACATTACGGCACTGAATAGTCGCTTATTTAAATAAAAAAAAGAAAATACTTACTTGTAAGAGTGGAAAACAATATCATTTACAGGCAAATGGTTGATCTTCATAAGTTCTCTAAACTTATTGTTATGTTGTGCATGTGATTTGCTGGTAGTCATTTTAGCACAACGACAGTCTACTTTCATTTCTTTCGCAAGTGACGTCCAGCGGGCTCGCGATTCTATATCAGGATTTGTACTGTCCACAACGACACTTTTACCTTGCTGTAAGAAATATTTTTAATTAACAATTTTACGATGTAAAATTCAAATTAATATATAACTAGTAGTGGTAATATGAAAAAGGAAGATTTTATACGTGGTAGAGCCATGCTGCAGCAATATTAGTAGTATAGTTGTAGCACGAATGGGTCGGCTCGACCGGGGAAGGACCACGCTCTCACAGAATACCAAAGTAAAATAGCAGCTTAACACTGCTGTCTTTCGTATGGTGAGTGTAGAGAACCGAAGACTCTTTAACTGGAAAAGAGGCATTCCATCTTAGTCCTCACGGGTGACAACGCATCTGCATTTTGATTCGCAAACGAGGATAAATGTAGATGTCTATGGGCCACAGCAACCACTTACCATCAGGTGCACTGTGTGCTCGTTTGTCACCCTATCTATTGGTTATTTGACTTCACACGTCAAACATCAAACTTAGATTGAATGCGGGTATCATCATCTCAATTCTCCTAAGCTTCCTCCTTTTTAAAGTCGGCTAAAAATTAAGCGACCAGTCTTATGCAATCGTAAAGGTGTCATTTGTCACTATGATAATGCTACACTTCGCACAGCTTTCTTAACTCATGATAGTTTATTGGACTTGGGATAGGAAGCCTTACCTCCCACCACTATATTCACCTCATCTTGCACCTTCTATCATGTCTTTTGTTTATAGCAAAACAATTTGACTCCGAAGACCATGGATAAATTTGAAAAAGGACAAAGTGCAGTATAAATATCATGCCCATCTCAGTCAGGCAAGTAGACGAAAGTGATTTTAGATTGGCAATAAGACGCCTAAAGCCACGATCTGCTGGTGGCCCTGATCACATTCCCGCTTTTCTGGTCAAGGATTGTGCGCCAGCTCTTCGTTCACCGCTCTTGTTTATTTTTAATCTGTCCCTTAGACAGGCTAAATATCCAGAACAATGGAAACTATCTAGGGTGACACCTGTTCCAAAGGGAGAACCTGGAAAAGATGTTTCTGCTTTTAGACCTATTGCGGTGCTTTCGGTTCTGGCGAAGATATTTGAAACCATGTTGGACTTTCGCATTAGGTAGATAACATTTTGCATGAGAGTCAACATGGGTTTCGAAAGAATCGTTCAACGACTGCTAACTTGATAGCGCACGTGGACTATATCAATGCTGAGATGGATTCTAGGAGACAGGTAGACGCCGCCTATTTCGATTTTAGGAAGGCTTTTGACCTGGTGAGTAATGACATACTGTTACAGAAGCTAGCTAAGTTGGGTTTTACTCCGAAACTTCTTCAACTATTTGCTAGCTATTTGGATAATCGTCGTCAATTTGTTAGAGTAAGTGCTTTCGAATCCGCTGATTATTTCACTAGATCTGGGGTGAGTCAGGGTAGTACTCTTGGCCCTACGCTGTCTTTAATTTTTATAAATGACTTGCTTACCAAAGTAAAATCTGCGAAGTGTCTGTTATTCGCAAATGATCTAAAAATTAAGTTTGTAGTGCTGCTGATGCACAGGCTCTTCAACAGGACATAGATGCGGTATCGAAATGGAGTGAACTGTACCATCTTCCTCTTAATATGACTAAATGCAAGGTTATCACTTTTGCATTAAAACAGAATCCTGTCATTATTAATTATAACTTATACGACGCGCCTTTGGTAAGAGTTTATGACATACGTGACTTAGGTTTAATATTAGATACTAAATTGGGTTTTCACAATCATATGACATCCATTTGCAAGTTAGCTAATCAGACTTTGGATTTGGTGATGAGGACTGCTGCTGACTTTGATAATATAAGGGTGGCTAAAACTTTGTATAATGCGTATGTTCGAAGTAAAGTAGAGTATGCATCTGTGGTCTGGAATCCTTACGAGAAAAAGTATTTCTTATAAAGCCAACGAGCAAATTTACGTTGTATCCTCTCTTGTTAGAGAGGATACAACGTAAATTTGCTCGTTGGCTTTATAAGAAAAATCATGGGTACTACCCTTATTTGTATCCTTCTTTATTCGTCTTGGGTATGGTTGATTTTGAAAGCTTAACGTTTAGGAGGGTGATGTCAACTATTAGGCACTGTCTTTCTATAATTCACCACAAGTTGGATTGCCAGTCGGTTATGAAGAGAATCGGTTTGTTGGTGCCAAGGTACCTGCAGAGAGATAATGGAGGAACGGTGGCTCCGCGCCGTAGGCCGCGTCTCGTAGATAGACCAATTACGCGTACCAAACGTGCTGCTTTTACACCAACAAATAGAGCATTAATACTTATAGGGGACATACTCACTCAGCATGATGAAATTGACCTATTTGCAGACAGTATAACACGTCTGCTGACTCTTTTTTATAAAATTATTGATGATATGACAATTAATATAATTCGACAATTTAATTTCGTTGACTATGTACTATTTATACTTTATATTTAAGATGTAATTTTAATTATGGGCATATTAGGATTGTTATTAGTTTTTATTGACATTGCATTATAAATTGATATGACAAAATATTTCATTGTATAATTATTAATACTTTATTGTTTTAATTGGCTTTATTACCATTTTAATTTCTAACACGGGCTGCCAAAAGCTTCGAGATTTTATATAACTATTATTTTATAATTAATTAATTTATGATTATTAATTTTTGTTGTCATGGATGATTGAAAAAACTTTTTGCACGTAAAATTTTGACCTTGTGCGCGTGTTGGATTTTCTGTAAGCAATAAGTTTATAAATTAAATAAATAAATAAATAAGAGTTTTTTGGATCTACATGCATCTATACCTATAGGAAGAGATCAAAATTGGGAAGATAAGAATAACGGGTAGAACTTTTCCACACACCGAATAGTTGACTATATCAATTTTAAAAAATATATATTATGTAAAGAAAAATATAAAACTAAAATTCGGAAATGACGGGCAGACACGTACATTACTCTAGATTTTTTAATGAGCTTGAACTTCGCTACTGCGTAATATGGCTGCACTGCACCACGAATTGGCCAGTTAAACCGGCGAAGGGCCTCCAGGAGATCAAAAGAAAGGGAGGCTCACACGGAATACCAGAAAATTGGAGCATTGTGCTTCTGTGTTTTGTTGGATGAGTCGAGAATCGAAGATAATCGGACTGCCATCGTAGTCCACATGAGTGACAACTCACGCATTTTGATTCGGAATCGAGAAAAGCCAGTTTGTTAACCTTATTAGTATTTCCTTAGTACCCTGCGGCACGATCAGGAAGGAAGTTGAGCGATGAGTAGGGGAAAGTATAACCCTCCCCCCCCCCCCTGGATACAGGAACTGTGGAATGTGTATTTGTGAAATTTTGGATTTGAAAAAACTTGCACACAGGTAATTGTTTTATCTGGATAATAATAATAATCTCAGGAGCCTTAGCACAACTATTTTTAAGTGTAGGTCTCACACAAAATGATAAGCTTTAACAGACTGCAAATAAATTGAATGAACTTTGCTTTTTAGTTATCATTTCGAGGTAGGGCGCTTCTGTTAATAATTTTATATTTGAACATCAATAAAAATATTTTTTGCCAGCTTTGTGCATAACAGCAACGCATAAAAACACCTAAAAAACCATTACTCTCTAGCAATCGGGACAAAATAGGTACATACATATATAGGCCTTGGTATTGACTACAATATTTACTACAACTTTTTCCCAGCGTTGTTGCTGATTCTGTCGCTGATGTGGTACTTCAGGGATTAGAACTTTTTATTCCATCATCTGTGGTGCCTATCGTTGCCAGAACTCAGCCATGGTTTGGTCACTCCTGTAAAATCGCATCACGCCATAAGCAGGAGTGCTATCGGGCCTGGGCTGACTCATCAACGTCTCGGGATGCAAACACCAGCGCTCTTAAAGAGAAGTTTAAGTCTGCCTCCAGGTCCTTTAAAAGTGTCATTGCTAAGGCAAATTCAAAGCACATCGGCAGAATTGGCGAGAAACTAGTTGGACTTCTTTCGGAAACACGTGCATTCTAGTCTCTTGCCTGCCCAAGGGAACTTCTGTCACCCATCTCTGCCATCTCTGCACAGGGAGGACGACTTACTGGCAGATGCCGCAAACGATCTGCTACGCTCTCTCTTAGCGTCCAACTCGACTCTCAATGACGGGCGGAACACCACCAACCATCCCGCGGTGTGAGTGCTCGATACAGGATGTACTGTTTACACAGCGCTCAGTGCGCGAAGCACTCCTCTCCCTGGACAAGCCTAGTGGTCCTGACGGAATGCCCTCAATTGTGCTGAGGACGTGTGCTCCGGTGTTGGCACCGGTTCTAACGCGTCTTTTCAGGTACTCCTACTCCTTAGGCGTAGTCCCAAAAACATGGAAGATGGCTTTTATCCACCCGATCTCTAAAAAAGGCGACCGCTCAGACCCATTTAACTACAGGCCTATCGCCATCACCTCCTTGTTCTCCAAAATAATGGAATCCGTAATAAACTGCCAGCTCATGCGTTGCCTTGAGGATCACCAGCTGATTAGTGACCGCCAATACGGTTTTCGTCGGGGTCAATCAGCTGGTGATCTTCTGGTCTACCTGACACATAGATGGGCGGAGACATTAGAGTCCAAGAGACATAGCGAAGTCCTTCGATCGGGTTTAGCACAAAGCACTTCTTTCGAAGCTTCCTTCCTATGGGCTTCCTGAGAGATTGTGCAATCGGATCACCAGCTTTCTTGCAAATCGGAGCATCAAGGTCATAGTAGACGGTAAAAAGTTGCAGCCTATTGCATAGTAGATGGTGCATGCTCCGATTACAAACTTATTAACGCTGGTGTTCCACAAGGTTTCGTGCTACCACCAACGCTGTTTCTTCTACATATCAATAATATCATGAAAACCGGTAATTTTCATTGCTGTGCGGACGATATCCTCCGCTATTGCATCGGCCGTGCTAATATTTCTCGGGAAAACATCGCCGGGTACCGGAAAAAACTTAAGTTGAGAGTGTTCCGGTCGAAGTCGAGACTTTCTTGAAGTCTCGGATTGGGAGCGACTAAATTTAGTCCAGAGCAATCCCCAGAAAATACAAGTTTGCGAGTTTACCTCTAAAAAGAACCCCTTTGTCGTATCTCCTCAGCTTCAGGGCACTCCCCTTGTTGCCTCAGCCAGTATCGGAATCCTCGGCGTCGACATATCGAATGACGTGCAGTTTCGCGGTCACTTGGAAGAGAAGGCCAAACTGTTCTCTAATAAGCTTGGCGTGCTCAGCAAAGCGGAACAGTATACCGGCCTGCAACTTTACAGGTTTGGTCTTACATGGAATACTGTTACCATTTTTGGGCCGGGGCTCTCCAGTGCCAGCCCCTTCTATTTGATCGCATCCAGCGCAGGACGGTTCGAATCGTCGGCGACCGATCTCTTTCTGATCGGCTTTCCTCACTGATACTGCGAAGAGATGTTGCATCTCTGCGTATTTTATCGCAACTACCACGGGGAGTGCTCTGAGGATTTATTCAGACTAATTCCAGCCGCTCAATTTCACCATTGCACATCAAGACAAACTCGCAATACCATCTATACCATCTGAATGATTGGCGGTCCACCACTGTGCATATACAAGACTGTACACATACAAGAAGTTTTTTTCCTCGCATTTCTTCCTTGTGGAATCGTCTAACACCAAAAAATTTTCCGGACTGATACGACTTAGGGACCTTCAAGAAAAGAGCCTACTCTTTTTAAAAAGTCGGTAACGTCGTAACCTGCGATTCCCTTGGTGCTGCAGTTGTTCTTGGGCGGTGGCCGACCCTTGCTGTCTAATTATTTTTGGGTAGTGAGACGCATGCTCGTTTGCCACCTGTTCTATAAAAAAAACTACAATAATCTGTATCGGTATTGTAAAGACAAAATTATTTATCATTACATTCCTAAAAATTACATATTAAAAATTAATTTACAGAGGTAACATAAGCAACGAAATATGTAGCCTTTACAGGGGGACCCATCATATCCCTCCTCAAATACCCTCAAATATTCTAACCCTCGGTCGCATCCCCCACCCCTAGTGGTCATTCTTCATTATTGTTAATCAAGGATGAATCAACATCAATCCTTAATAAAGAATCCTCATAGCTAGAATAAGAGAGAGTAAGAGCAGCCTCTGACTGTCAAGTGGACTCCGCTCAATTGTCAAAAAAATATTAAATATAGCTACTATATAATATATATCATTAACATTCAATGTTTTATATCATTCAATTTTGATACCTTATAATAACAAAAAAAATTACCAGACATTGGCAGAATTATTGTGACATAACTATAATACCAAGGGCCATATTGTTTAAAAAAAAATTATACCACTCTGCATTCATACCTGTAATAATCTAGTAGCCTCAGCAGCACATTTTTGCCATGAGCCAAGCACATCTCTACACACAGATACATATTTATGTGCAGACTTCTCTTCAATTTGTTTTGCAAGAAATGATTTGCCACTGCCTGGATATCCCACTAAAACAAGTATCTAAAACAATTTAATAAACATTAAACAGATAATTTACATAAACAAATAATGCTCTTATAAATAGTCTAACAACTAAGTTCTTGTGGTGTTTAAAAAGCACCACAAAAATAATATGGACAAAAAAATTCAATAATAATGCACATTCTTGAAGTAACTATTATTAATATTAACTATTACAAATAATATTATTATTATTAACTATTACAAATAATTAATACTCACCTCTTTTTCTTTACTCATAAGATTTTCATTGAAAGGTTCTGATACAAGTTCATTAGGAATAAAATCTGGTTTAGCCATAGGTACATTTGCAACAGAATGTCCAAGAAAGAATTCCTCCGGTGTATAAAATTTAAGGCCCAGGTTTTCAGCTAACAATTTATCAGCCATGGAATGATCTTTTTTTTTACCTGGTGCCCAATTTGCAACCCTACCAGCTGCATCACCACAGTAGAAACTAGCATTCATATCTACTGATAAACCATCATTTTTCTGTAATGCATAAAGTTATTTTTTATATAACAATAAAGATATGATATGACCTTTTAAATAAAAAATATAATCAAACCTTTTCAGTGAGCACTTTCCACATGCCTGGTGTAGGTTTTCTATAAAAACCTTTTCCTGTTGCTATGTAAACCTGAATGGGAATATTTATTTTGGCAACTAAATTTTCTATTTTTTTCTTAAAATCTTCTATTTTCACTCTTCCTTTGCCAATAGGGGCTTGATTGCTCAATATTACAACTTTATAACCATTTTGTAACTGTTCCTTTAACTTGGAAGGCACAGTGGGAAAAGCTAACTGCCAGTCATTTGTGTCAACTGGATGAACTTTGCCTGACTTTGTCTTTATCAAAGTTCCATCCATATCAAAAGCAGCAATTTTTTCACTTGACTTAACACCTTTTGATGTGAAAATATATAATTCAGTTCCATCAACTCCTTCCCAAAAATCTTCCATAGCTTCTTTCAATTTTAAATTTTCATTTGTATGTGCTAAAGTTTTGTGGCATTTTTTCTTTATAAAAGAAGTCTCTTCGTCTTCTATTTTCCTTTTTTTATTTTTTATTGGCATACAATCATCAGGTGGAGGCTCAAATTCAACTATGTGAATGTAATTATTCAATAGAACTTCAATTCTACTTTCATGTCCAACTTTATACGTGCAATTTCTTTTTAAGGCAAAACCATCTAAACCAGACGGATTTATTCCAAGCTGCTTAATCTCAACAATACATTCAACACAATTGGCTTTGAGGCTAACTACAAAATAAGAGTTTATGTCAAATTAGACAAAATATTACAAATAATTTAAAATTAAAAATTTTGTACAGCCGACTTCAATATAAGTTATTAAGAATAACTCAAATAACTCAAAAACTAATGGTCTGACATTGATCAAATTCATATGGGACCACACGAGAAGTATCAGCTTTCATATAAAAAAATAATCATCGAAATCGGTCTACCCAGTAAAAAGTTATGAGGTAACACACATAAAAGAAGAAACATACGCGTCGAATTGAGTACCGTCTCCTATTTGGAAGTCGGCAGAAAAAATCGGATATTATGATCAAAATTTACATATTATGCTTACTTACTTTGCTGACGAGAACATGACTGGTCTCTAATTTTTGTAATTTTACTACGACCTACAAATATTTCGACATTATGCGGCAAATTAATAGGCGCATGCGAATCAAGTAAACATTTAAGATAACATAAGCGGCTCATTGTTACATATTTTTGTCGCTTAGTCTGTATCTCTGATCTTTATTTGTATGATACTTTGTCCAAATCACAAACATAGATATATATAATGTACTCTGTGATAAATATATATGTAGCAAGCTAGTCACAAACTTAGTTTCACTCACAGAACAACACATAGACTTAGGATATACTGTAGTGTTTCTATATAGTTTGTGGATATACTGGCGTATAGACGACCTGACTGACAGCACAGATTATTTAATAGTTTACTAAACTGACAGCCCGAAAACGCGTGACCAATTTTGATTTGTTATTGTGTGAGTTGGCTAGTGATGCACATTTTACTTAAAAGAGCTATCGAAATATTTTTGTTCAGACACCGGTATAAACACTAAAAAATAGTTTAGTGCACAGAACTGAATAACTTTTGTGCACTAAACTATTTTATTAAAAATTAACTAAATTTTTACCATGATAGTTTTAAAATAACTAAAAATATTCAAATAACATGTTCCCGGGAATAAGCTGCACCCACCTGCCTTTTCCATCATCCATAATCCATTACAGCCTATAAAAATCCACTGCTCAACATGGGCCTCCCTATAGATTGCCTCATAGGGGGATATTTGCCATCGCTTGGCCAGCAGGTTGTCAACCACAGTTTTTTATTATTTCAAGTTGTTATGAGGAAGATGCTGCTGCACGTCGCCTGTTTCAGTTTCCCTTTGTCGCCTTTTATGACACACATAGGACGATATTGGGTAGTGGAAATTCTTTCACCGGCACCACATGCCTTTTGTAGGACTTTAATTCAAAATGTAAAAAATTGCAATAATATCTGAAGAGGCGAGGTAAGTCTACCGATAAAATGAAACAATTTTCTCCAACAAGCAGATATTTTTACCTTTGGAAAAGTTATATTTTTGACCTTTGGAGAAAAATACTTAATGCCATTTACAATTTCCCCGGAATTTATTTCTTTTTCAACATAATGTTAATCAAATATAAATAGGTAGATAATTAAGTATCTACCTATTTATATTTCATAAAAATGTTTTGCTGGTAAAATAAAAAACGAGGACACGGAGTATATAATGGCTGCTTTATTTTTTATATAATTATTACCTTTAATCTTTATAAAACAGAATTGGAAACAGAAACAAAAAAACAAAATCATTTAATCTATACTAATATAATAAAGCGGAAGAGTTATTTTGTTTGTTTTTTTTGTTTGTTTGTTTAAGCACGCTAATCTCTGGAACTACCAGTTCAAATTTAAAATTTTTGTATATAATAGCCAGATTTCTGAGGAATAGTATAGGCTATCTAGCATATAACTATCAGCTAACCTTATATATTGATTTTTATTAAGCAATTGGGAAGAAAAGGCACTCTCTAACTGCTTTATCCATTTAGTATTACAGAAATACAATGTTCTACAAAAATATTGGTCTTTGCTCCATCTAAAACAAAGTCTACGATACCATATGCCTGTGGCGGCGCTGTCGTCGCGCCACAAGCGAAACATATCGAAGCCTAAATCGCACTAACAAAGTTCCGAACTAAAAGCAGCATATATAGAATAGCTCCGAACTACCAATCGGAGCGTTGGCCGCTCCCCGGGCAGAACATATTGCCCGGCGGGAAATCTACCCTTTTCCTTCCACCCGCCACATGCCTATTTCTTATACATAAGGCACAATAAGTTATTTTGTGAAAAAAATTATTGAAAATGAAAAAGTAATTTATGAGCGTTATTATTAGGCATGGCATATTAACCCTTACGAATGTTACTTCATCATGGAGACAATTTTATGAAGATAAACTTTGCTCTTTATAACATGTTATTTGAACGCATAGGTTAAGAGATAATGAAAAATTAAAATAATGAACACTCTGCTCGGAGCGCGAACGACCGCATAAACCCTAGCCGCCCGATGAGATTCGAGAGAAACCAGCAGTGAACGCCTATATTGATCCGAGAGCTCATGACGCATTTTTTCAGAAGTGTTTGATGCATCATGAAACTTTATCCATAATGCTTCTGGCCTACCCATTCAGTGTATTCACATATACACATTTCATCAAAAGTGAGACATAGTTTTAGATCAGGCTTCTTTTTTCTCATTTCTCTAATGGTATTTAAAGATTCTTGAGTGAAACCAGGTTCACAGTCTAGTCTGGTATACCAGGTACGCAATGTGTTAACGTGTGGAAGACACAAATCAAATTTTTCACGTAAATAATTATATGCTCTTGGACTAAAGAAATGTATTGTGTCTAGGCAGGAAAATTTGCAATAAAAACGCAGTATTTAACGCGCGCTTTTGGCCTCGATATCAAGGGCACCTTCCCTCTCCCCCGCCCCCCCGGCCGCCGAACGGGTCGGCGTGGCTCTTCTCGCGAGGTAGTAGGATTTTTCTTGCGAACTATACGGACGTATTTTTTCGCGCCTAAACTTGCTAAAGGAACAATCCGCGTAAATCGTTGCAATAACGGTATCGTTATTAGAACGTACTAACTCGGTGAAATTCGCGCGCAACTATCAAAGTGACTTACATCTGAAGGACTACCAGAGTAGCCGTCCCATTTGGTGACAACCCCTTACGAGTGCCTCCAGAAGGGTGAAGTTCCGGGGATACCAGCGCGTGCCTTCTCCCGGACGTCGTCGAGTCATCCAGATCGGTTCCCGTCAACATACCAGCACACACAATTACACCTACACTCACAACACGCACACACCAAGCACAACTTTCATCAGCCGGGCCGGTCGAGGAGAACCGTCTGCGCTCCTGGGGCAGGTAAGTGCATTTATTCTAGTGACCTTTCCCCTCGTGTGTTCATTAGAAACCTTTGACCCTCGGCGTAGGAACGCCCGACCTGCATCTGCCCGTGGCTCCTTCGTCTATGGGCCGCGAAGGATCCAACTCCTGTTGAGGCAGGGCAGCTGTTGGCCGTAACAATTGGTAGCAGAACGCGGTGCTGGGATCGATTCCCGGTCGATCCACCGACCATAGTATTTGATAAAAATTAAATAATTTGGTGGCAGGAGCGTTGGGTGGATTTGTGGCTACAATCACGCCCGTCCGTAATACGTAAAATACCTTTTTATTATTATACGTAATAATAAAATTCCTTCCTTTGTTAGCTTGCTTTACTGTTAGCGGGTAAAATTGAAAGGTCACACCCGGTTCGCGCGCAAGCGGGAGATTGCGTCATGTAGGTAGATGGTTATTTTTACGTAATCGGTTAATTGTCGTTGTCGGATGGTAGTGTGTTACTTATCGAAGGGTTGATTTCCGAGCAAGGCATTTTTGTTGATGTGTATCTTCGTTACATATCTTTCGTATTGTAAATTGTATTTGAACTAAAGAGTGGTAATTTGTATTTACGTAATTTAAATGAACTTGATTTGATCGTACTAGTATTTGTTATTGTTGATTTGATTTACCTTTTCCTTTGTACTAACTTGTGTTTGATTTAATAATAGCTGTTCTTATTTGTGTACATTCTATCCAACTCGATTTGATAGGAACTGCATTAGTTAGCTGTTAATTTTTTTGTATTTTTTATTTGTTATTGTTGTAATTGTTCTCGAGCCGCGTCGTAATTTGAATTTAGTAGTGATGTCCTCGCCCAAGATGCTAATCCGTTGCCTGCGGACTGAGCTGCGCTGGGCTACCAGCGCACACGCGTTGATAGGCCGACCGGACAGGGTCTACAATCTGAGGAAGAGGCTTGAGCAGGTCGATGCTCGAAGGGCGGCCGTGGAGGAGGCTTACTCTGAGCTCGAGGACTTGGAGGTGGAAAAGGGAGTCCTGGAATCTTGCCGCGCGGACTACGAGCAGTTCCTCGCGCTGACGGACGACCTGATCGAGGCGGGGGCCAAGGATGCGGAGAGGGAGCGCGAAGCTCGGCTGAGTAGCCTTCTCGAGTCCCCGCGGAAGCCGTCTGCTCAGCCAGAGCTGCTAGGACGACTTCCGACGCTGGACCTGCCAAGGTTCTCCGGGGTCCTCTCGGAGTGGATGACCTTCGTCGGCCTGTTTGACAGCCTGGTGGACGCCCGGAGGGACCTGACCCCCTGCCAAAAAATGGGGTACCTCCTGGCTTCACTAGAGGGGGAGGCCCTGAGCGTCGTCGGCCTGCTGGAGAACGCAGCAGGCGCCGTCGAGGACCCCCCGGCCTCCTCCCGAGCGGTGCCCAGGGAAAGGCGGAGTCAGCCGGCCAAGGCGGCGCCCACCCCCCTGAGGCCGAGTGGAGCCCCCGCGGGAGGGCGCCCCCCCGTACCCTCCTATAGTGGCCTAGCGGCCCGGGAGGCGCCTCCCTGCTCCTATTGTCGAGCATCCGACCACCGGCCGGCGTCGTGCCCGAAGTTGTTGCGCAAGCCGGCTAAGGCGAGGCGAACAATCGCCAGGGAGCGCCGCTGGTGCTTCTCGTGCCTGGAGAGGCATTTACAACGAGACTGCCCGCACCAGCGGCCCTGCACGCACTGCCAGGGCAACCACAACGTCCTCTTGTGCCTGGGTGCGCGCGGCTCGTCCTCGCAGGGCCCTGCCAGCCCCCCGACTCCCACGGGCGGGGGCGCCCAGCCACGCCCACTGTCGGGCGACGCTCGGCGCTCACCGGCGGACCGCAGCGCCTCTCCTTCTGAAGGGAGCCCCTTCCCCGATCGGTCGGGGAGTCGTTCCCCCAGGGGCGGGGGGGTCTTCACCCCCCCCTCCCCGAGTTGATAGTGGATTCGCGGCCACTCAGCGGTCAGCTAGACCTTTCTCACCCCCGTTGGCTGAGTGGCCGCGACTGGAACGCCGCCCGCCCCCCTTTGGCCGGTGCCGGTACTACCGGGTTCCGGAGACTGCGTATCGGCCCCGAGCCTTGGAGCCGAGGATCCCCGAGTTTCCCTCGGTCGGCCCGTTCGGGGAATTCCAGTCGGGGGTCATCGAGACGCCGTCGGAGTGCCGCGCTCGGGCCCCCCGGTTCGGGTGCCGGACTAACAGAGGCAGCTCCAGGGAGGCTGCCGCCCT